TCCTGTGGGTGGGCTATGAGGGTGTGTAAACGGCGGGGGGGGGGAGTCTAAATATGATTAAGATGTATGAAATGTACAAAAATTCAGTAAAAATATACATTGAAAAAGAAATGAAAAATGCCCTTGACAAAAAGACTTTTAATATTGATCATTGTAGAGAGCCATGTAAAGTCTTTTTTTTTTTTTAAGTTCCATCAAAACAAAAGCTGACGATCACTTTCTCAGGGCTCGGATCATGAACCTGACAAATGTGTCAAGCTGATCCAGAGGCAGTAGACAACAAAATGAGGGTGAAGTTGACTGTTCCCTCAGTGGTCTTTCCAGCACTGCAGAAAGAAGATGAAAGCAAATTTCAGTGTCAATGTGCCCTTTCTCAGCAGAACTTAGGGAGTTTCTTGTAGGAACACGAATGGTTCAAAATAGTTAAAAACTCTCTGGCAAGCTGATTGTCTGCAGGAAGCGGCTCAGCAGCGGGAAGGTCCCCAGGGTGCACTGCAGCAGCTGGCCCTACGGCAGGAGGCTGGTTCTGCAGTAGCTGGATGGACTGGCCACTAGGGGAGCCACAGGCGCGAGTCACCGTTCAGGTGTGGAGGCCCGGCTTCTGGGCAGAAACAAATGTCTCATCTCCTGCAATCTTCTCCATTAGATCATTAGAACAAAGTACAATTTAAAGTTTATTTGCTTGAGAAGTTGCACAATTGATAATTCATAATAGGACTGAAGGATTAGATTTTGGTGTGGAAAGGAGATAGAATGACCAATTTTATTTTGAACATTAAATTTGAAATCAAGTGCCGGCTTCTGGGCAGAAACAAATGTCTCATCTCCTGCAATCTTCTCCATTAGATCATTAGAACAAAGTACAATTTAAAGTTTATTTGCTTGAGAAGTTGCACAATTGATAATTCATAATAGGACTGAAGGATTAGATTTTGGTGTGGAAAGGAGATAGAATGACCAATTTTATTTTGAACATTAAATTTGAAATCAAGTGCCTTAAACCAGTCATCTTTCTTTCTTTCTTTCTTTC